ATGGACTTCAACTCCTGGGAATGCTGGCTGGGAAATTCTAGGAGTTGAAGTCCACCAGTTTTAAAATGCCAAGGTTGGACACCCCTGGTTTAAAGTGAAAAAAAAGGGGATCAGAGCACAGCAGTCCTTTCAAAGACACTTCTCTGTATTATCTGTGCACAATTTGAAGAAAATCTCTTTCCCAAGGGAGATTTATAGCCTCCTGAGAAGCTGCTTGAAGTTCACATAGGAGAGGGTAAGCATTTATCTTGAGAAAGAGCTTTTCCTCACAATGTGGTGGGACTAATAAACGGAACAGGATTTCCATCAGCTGCCTTTTGTTTGTTTTTTCCACCGCATTTTGATGGGCAGCTATTTTTTCAACCTCCTCCTCTTGTTGTGAAAGGGAAGAAGTCACCTTTTTTAAAAATTTTGGACTGAGACTAAAACTGTGTGGATCCTGATTGGAATATAGGTAGAGTCCTTGACTTACGACCATTTGTTTAATGACTGTTTGCTTGCAGTGAAAAAAGGAGGTGTATCATTTTTCACACATGACCATTGCAGAATCCTTGTGGTTACCTGATAAAATTCAGATACTTGGCAAGTGGCATGTATTTATGACGGCCATGTTGTCCTGGTGTCATGTGATCACATTTTGCAAGCAAAGTCAATGAGGAAGCCAGATTCACTTAGCAACTTTGGCTAGAAAGGTTGTAAAATTGGGTTAAACGGGCCAGATACGGCCAGCCGAAGCCATTAATCTGGCCTGTGTGGGACCATGCGGCTGTCCCGCCCACATTGCCCCACCTACCACCCGCCAGCCCCCACCTGCCCTCTGGACGTCAAGGAGGCCAAAAACAGGATGCATGGGCCTGTTTTTGGATGGCAGAGTGGCACTGGAGGCCAAAAATGAGACACTCGCACGCACCACCTTCTACGCATGCGTAAAAGGACGTGCATTACATCAGGGTGGATGGGCGGAGCCTTCAGCAACCACGGCTAGCAGTTCGCCCGAACCGGTAAGAAACAGCAGAATACCACCACTGGTTCAGGGTATATATTCCAAATACAAGGATTAAAAATGTAATAATAAATATATATTCTTTTCTGTGGTCTGAGCACAGAAGACACAGAAAATCCTCAGCCATTCTTCCATCATAATATCCAACCAGATTTCCAGATGACTAACAGACAATTAAAACTTTTTCTATATGTTACATTTTTCTTTTAAAATTTGATATATATTTTAAATTATGTTTGAACAGATGGTTCTGCATTCTTAGCACAGATACTTTAGCACACATCACAACCAAGTCTATGAAGTGATGGTCTTAATGGAAAAATATTATATTAAT